ATTATGCGACATGGTTTTTATGGATGTGTAACTTAATAGTAGATCCTACCTAGGTTAGTAAAGACGTAGTCTGATTATTAGGCTCTAGAAGAACGATTCTGACTTATTCTTGAAGCTGTTTCTTTATTGGTAAGAAAAGAGTACTCCATCAGTCCCATATAACTTGACAATGAATTAACTGCTTTATTGAGCCATTTAATATGACGTTTGTTTATAAATATACAATTTTCACGACAAACAGGTGGCATACTCTTAAATTCATTTGATTTAAAATAATCAAAAAAACTGTATCCTGTCAGTAGATTGCTCGTTTCTCTAAATTAGGTAAAAATTTGAGCTTTTCACACAAGTATTTAAGGTGATTACCTCATTATATTTTTGTAATTCATTTATTGTTTTCATTTTTGATAAAAGCTTATCGTAATTTTGCCTCAATCTAGCGCTCATTAGAAACAATATTGTCCGAAACCAGGATGTACGTATTCTAAGAATAAAAAATGAGTACTTAATAAGCTAATACTTAGTGGCATGCAGATTAGCTTGAAGAATCTATTTTGCTAAAATTTTGAGAAAAAGATAAAAAATGAATGACATTGAAATAAAATGTAATCTTATATTTATAGAGATTTTCTTGATAATTTAAAAGTAAATCTTATTTAAAAAAGATAAATATCCTATATTTATTTGCTACAGGTAAAGTTCGAGAAAGGTTGCCTTTTATGAAATCCAATGGCGGGAGTGCTGTGTAGCTTAGTAAATAAAAGGTGCTCACTAAAAACAGCACGTTTATGCTGCAACGCCTAGGTGATTAAGACTAACTAAGGTCAGTCTGATTCCGAAACTAATGCACTTTCTGCTTACAAGGTTACTTAATCTAGTTTTTCCAACGGCTTTAATAAAAGATTGCTACTATACAAATCTACGGACCTCTGTATACATTTGCTATTATTTTATAAAGTTAAGCTTTACAAAATGAATAATGAATGGAGTAATGCATTTTTTGACCACCTCCATTAAAGAAATAACAAACATTTTGGAGGACCTATTATAACCTCAATGAAAGGTATAACCGATTTAATATAAGGTTTATCTAACTAGTCTTGAAGCTTAAAAGATTTACTTCTTCTCTCGACAAGATTTAATACCATAGGTGGTCAAAAAAATCATATTTTTATTCTGTCTTGCTGAATACATAAACTTTAATCATTAATACAAATTTTTCTCTAGAAATATGATAAAACATATATTGTAAGTGAAAAATTATGCTTTAGATTAATAATATACGATTTCTCTATCTTTTTATGAAATATATGTATATGCGAGAGCTTCACTTTTATTTAATTAAAATAAGACTTACTGTGGTTTAATCGAATGTATTTTGTCGAGTCTATTCAAGCTATGATAAGCGAAAGTTTGCGAAGACTTACTCAGGTAAAGAAACATAACAACGATTTGGCAGACAAAATCTAAATTCGCCACCTCAAAGTTACTTTTGGATTAAAATACCGATTCTATTATTGTTTTGAAAAGGGTTCTAAGAACATCAGT